ACGTGCTGAGAGTAGAGATTAATGAGGGGGACTACATAAGCTACTGTTGCCACTCTTTCAAATTTCGTTCAAGACATTGTGCGACTCAGGTCACCTATGATATGGTGTGATAAAGTGCAAGATGTTTATCTCCGCAAGGCAAGAAATGCTTACCTGGAATGAATTTATTCTCACGCACTACGACGATCGCGATGTGGCCTAGCTTGTTGTCTGAGGAGCTGAGGCTAACGGCAGAGTAGTTCTCATAGGCGCCTGGTTTGATCAGAAAACTGCTAGCTCCTTGGATGACAGAAGAACAAAACAATAATGCTATTAGTCTCGAACAGTAAGTTTCTATGGGCTCTTTCGATTCAGAAACTCAAGTCAGACAAGGCATTTATAAGTTTTTTTTCACCTTACAGAATATTCCCTCGCTCATGGAATAATTTGCTTCGAATATGATAATTAAGTACGGTTGCAATGATGATTATCGTACAGCCTGATCTTAGTATATTTCATTCTCTTAAGCTTTTGAACGAGCTTCTTGCTGACCCCTGCAAAGAGTATATTCTGTAACATTATGGATGCCTAAGTTGGATGCATTTTTCTCAGTGAGTTTTACTGCTCGGTGACAGACAGGAGACCGAATGACGGGGAGACCGAGGACGCGGCCAGAGACACACAGAGTGGCTCAAACGTGACTGGTCGAACGGGCACACGCAAGAAAGGACGGCATAAAGACGAGAATTTTGGGCCGGAGTATCCATTCTCTGAAGATGGGTAGACGAGACCACTACCCGAAACGTCAGACTTGTAATAAACCTCTCCCGGTGAACGCTCCCCTTTCTTCTGACCAAATTCTAATATATTTCATGGAATATATGAACAAAAATATTTTCTCTTTTATATTCGGTAGATATGAAAATATGCCTTTTTAAATGTTATACTTCCAGAAAGGGCATCTTCCGGTTTTAAAAACATTTCTAAACTGTTAAATAATTTTCAGTTCTACTGACCATTAACTTGAATTCAAGGAAAATGAGACATTTTCCTACGGCGTGAAGAAGAAGAAGTCACATATCTCTCATAAAATTTTGCAATGCATGTGGATCAAGCTATATAATTACTAAACAGCATTAATAAGTGGATACACGCTTTGCTTTTTATATTCACATTTCACGGTCGTAAAAATTGCCATAATCAGAAACTTCTTTTAAAAAATTAAAAGATACCCTTTCTTCAAGTATAGAATCTGCAGAAGGCTTAATTTGTTACCAAACGAGCGCAAAGAAGAATATTTTTGCTCATATTTTGTGTATAATAAATTTGAATTTATAGGAGCAGTGAAGGTAACTGAGGAAAATGCATAGTAACTATACGGGCGGTCTACCTTCTTACCTACTCTTGCCCAAGAATTTTGTCGGGTGCTATTTTCTGGGTCAGTTTTATTTCATTATTTAGTTTCTTAGTTTAATTTTAGTTTTAGTTTCCTTTTTAGTTAGGTTTGTTTAATATAGCTTAGTTCAGTTATTATGATTTAGTGTATAGTATGTATTTAAGTATATTTATCTGAGGTTGGCCGTATCAAACTAAACCAAAAGCCAAACTACGGTTAACCTAGGAGTAAACTAATAAACTAAACATTAAAACCGATAAAACTAATAGAAACCGCAGGACTAGGGCAATGGATATCTAGTGTATTGGACAAATTTTATTGTCACCAGATGCATACTACTTAAACAGCCACTTTTCTACAGAGTTTACTTTTTGTAGGCAGTTAGAAGGGAGCTCTTTCAAGACCTGGTAGCCGTAAATGACTTAACTACATTGAGATTAGGCTGTAAGATTATTACTATTATTACAACTATACTGAAAAAATTTCAGTAAATAAAAAATAGAGTCCTGACATCAAAAGAACTACTTTATCTGACGTAAATAAAAAACATATTTACTAACATCAAAGAATCTGCATTGCGGTACCGTGTTTGTTTACTTCAGAAAACGAGGATCTGCTTACCGCTGGTATACACATAAACAAATTCCAAAGCGCTTAGACCCAATAACTTACGTGGATAAAATTCAACACACATGGCCGGAGGTTTACAGGGATTCTCTGCTGTTCCCTGGACGAATCCAGATTCCGAGGAATTGAACTGCAGCAACAAAAGGACAATGTGAATACATTTAAATGCAATACATTTCCAGAGGAGAAGACAACAGCTACTCTTTACCTACCTGGAGGGAATCATTGACCTCGACAATGTAGTCAATATCGGTATTGTTACGAAGAACTAGCGAAACACCAGCTAAAAAAGTGAGATTTAGAAAAAAACTTTAAAACTTACAAGAACTGCAAAATGGGATGGCTAAGGGCAGCAGGACACCAAGTAGCAAAGGAAACTGAGACATTATGTAACCTTCTGTCGCTATGAATATACGCAGCGCCCACATCGCGTTTGGGGTGGTTTCTTATCCTTTTTAGGTTGCCAAGGAAACTCTAATATGTTGACATTATTGGATCGATTCGAATGTATCCAATCCTTTTTTTGTTTCGACCATGAAAGCTGGCTTACCCTCCTCTCCCCTTTAGGCACGCCTCTTGCATTGGACAGCCTAGATGCAGGGCGTTGTCATGGAAACAACAAGAGATAGCGCCTGCCATGTTGGAATTTCATCGAAAGTTTTTGGGGGGCAAAAGTTTGGCAACATGCCTTGAATGGGCTTTTGAGAATTCTCCAGAACCTTTGAATTATAACGGTTGCACCTACCGAATAGTTTATTCGTCATTAGGCGCAGATTTTAGTATTTATTTTGATAAATGCCTTGCACATAGTTGAGGCCTCCAAATCTCCACATTTAGAGTCAGCAAAATACTTTTATTGCTAATATACAAGCGAACATGCGAGTGCCAGAAAGTAACTGAGAAGAAGAGGCCTCGATCGTTGGGACAATACTTTTATTCGCCCGACGTTTCGGGATCCGTCGCGAATTCATCATCAGAGACATAATCAGAGAGCAGTAGCAGATACGGGTTACGTATGATCAGGAGTTTGCAGTATTTGTAGGATACAGTCATAACTGCAAACCTACGACGACAGTTAATGGTAATTGCCTTCTTGCGGGTTGATAGTTTGTTGAAGAACGTGCGGTGTCTGACCTGCTGACCTTTCATCACGCGTGGTGGGCTCGGGTGTGATTATTACCCGGTCATCTGGCCCTCTGTTGTTGACGTAGGATGACGCAGTGGCCTGGCCGTTCCCCAAGCGGAGACTTGCTTTTACCAAATTTGATCTCAGCACCAAATATGGATTGGGCAAATCATTGCATTTTTTGATGGATTGCGGGCCCGTGAACCATGACTCAAGTTATTCTCGGCTCACCCTAATGTCCCCTCTTGCGAGCATTTCGGCCTCATCAAACTTGAAGGTGTGGCCGGGTTTCGTTGAATGAGCCGCAACTTGAGAATCGGCATCACTTCTAATGAGTGCATCATCTGCATTTTACTTTGGCGTGAGGTACCTGAAATCTCAGAAGGAGGATAAGATGTAACCTCTGGAACTAGAACTTTATTCGCCCGACGTTTCGAATTTCGGCTTGAATGCATCGTCAGATACAGCCACAAAAGACGTCGACAGAGCTACAAGATGTGCAGAGATTACAGTCCGTAGAGGCCACGCGATCACACCCGTAATGATCTAGTGATCGCCGCTGGGGCTCTTAATGGATTCGGTACTGGCTTGATCCGTTTAAGCTATTGAGTTGAGAAGAATTGGATGTGGCCGCTGAAACGACAATTTTATTCACCTGACGTTTCGAATCTGTCGCGGATCAGTCATCATCAGAGACAATAGCAGAAATGGGTAACTTTTAGGCGATATAGGCTACTGCATATTCATGACAATTTACGTCTCTCCCTTATCGAGGATGGTTGCCTGTGTGTGCCCTACCTTTTTGGTGGCCGGCGTATGAATTACTCGTTTCTGCCATTTTT